TATTTTCTCATCTTTAGCTCATCATTATAAAATAATATATAATGTTAATGAAAAAGAAATTACAAAATAACATGATTCACCATAGATGCAAAATACAAAAAAGTACTATCTAATCGTCAATCGCAATTGTAAAGTATTCGCTATTTTTCTGCGGGTGTATGCTAAAAAGCAAACACAGCGGTATTGAGCTAGAATACCGCGTCTGCATGCTACAGGTGGATGTCTTACACTTTCTGTGCACTGACGGTATCATTTGCTATTTCTATATACAGAATTCGTATTTGCATGAATACGGAATTTCGTATTTTAGTAATATACGGACTTGTCATAAAAATTCCGTATATTAGTAAAATACGGACTCCGTACATCAAATTTTCCGTATATTACGAGTGTACAGAGTTCGTATACTAGTCATATACGGACTGATATAATATACGGTCCCGTACATCTCCGTATTTCAAGTTTCCCGTATTCTTACACGTATATTAATGATATACGGAATTCCGTACACTTCCGTATATCCATGTCTTTTTCGCAGTGTGTATTGTTAGGTAAAATTTGCCCTTTGATGTCACGGGTAGTTCTCATTGAAGGTAACGAGTCATGGTTATGTTAATGAAAGAGGGTTAGAAATCCTTGTAAAATCAAATAAACATGTCGTTATAATTACTGCTATTTCCATTTTGTATAATGGGCTAGATTAATATCTACTCTTGTAAAAAACAATGTATATAACGGCATTTTTTCATTTACCAATTAACCTGTCGCCATATGACTTAAAAAGAAATAAGGGTAATTTATAAATAGTTAAATTATAAAAAGATTTGTATTTGTTTATAGCAAATATTCACATTTTGCGATTTGAATGTTGTTCTGTTAACCCTAGTGACCTTTCAGTAAACCCATGAACAATGAATGCAACATTGGTGTCCAACGTTGTGATGGTGGATAATGTCGGAATGTGGATGGTCGTGTAACATTGGTGAAAAGTTTGTGTTGGGAAGTTGCATGATTCAGCATTGGTAAAGTGAGTATTATGTAAATGGCATTGTCATTCTGGAGACAGGCCAGCATGCAGGGAGAGATAAAGTATTTTGTATTATTGCGTATTTCAATAAGTAAAAATATATTAGAAATGTTTATTCAATAAATAAGTAATAATTTCAATGAGGTATATTTTACAGATGATAGATATTATCAAATATAGATTGTATCTTAAACTAGCAGATGTAAGTTAAAGGTTCTACTCCAGTTTAACCCCTTGCTTGAAACATTGCATTTAGACGCTTATTTCCATGTACCAAAAGAGCTGGATGTCGCCATATGACTTAAAAACCAACAAATGAGATTATTAAAATATTTGTTTAGATAAAGTAAATATTTACATTTTGAGATAATTGTCCGCGATCCTTGTCTATAACATACGTTGCACTTAGGGACACATCTGCAAAGAAAGCTGAAGAGTTGCCATGTTGCATAAGAGCTGTGACAACTGGAGCAATGAAGGACTTGGCAGACACTGTGGAAGTTGATCAAGACTGGTATCGATTCTTCGAGAGTCCCGGTGATGATATACTCGCAAGAAGCAGTCGTGTTTGGGGCAGCTTTCTACACCTCTGTGCCGGCAGATTTGTAAGATTGGAAGTTGTTTCAGTGTGGAGAGAGATGAACACGGTGTATTGTTAGGTAAAATTTGCCCTTTGATGTCACGGGTAGTTCTCATTAAAGGTAACGAGTCATGGTTATGTTCGTAAAAGAGGGTTAGAAATCCCTGTAAAATCAAATAAACATGTCGTTATAATTACTGCTATTTCCATCTTGTATAATGGGCTAGACTAAATATCTACTCTTGTAAGAAACAATGTATATAACGGCAATTTTTCATTTACCAATTAACCTGTCGCCATATGACTTAAAAAGAAATAAAGGTAATTTATAACTAGTTAAATTTTAAAAAGATTTGTATTTGTTTATAGCAAATATTCACATTTTGCGATTTGAATGTTGTTCTGTTAACCCTAGTGACCTTTCAGTAAACCCTTGAACAATGAATGCTAGATTGGTGTCCAACGTTGTGATGGTGGATAATGTCGGAATGTGGATGGTCGTGTAACATTGGTGAAAAGTTTGTGTTGGGAAGTTGCATGATTCAGCATTGGTAAAGTGAGTATTATGTAAATGGCATTGTCATTCTGGAGACAGGCCAGCATGCAGGGAGAGATAAAGTATTTTGTATTATTGCGTATTTCAATAAGTAAAAATATATTAGAAATGTTTATTCAATAAATAAGTAATAATTTCAATGAGGTATATTTTACAGATGATAGATATTATCAAATGTAGATTGTATCTTAAACTAGCAGATGTAAGTTAAAGGTTCTACTCCAGTATAACCCCTTGCCTGAAACATTGCATTTAGACTCACATTTCCATGTACCAAAACAGCTGGATGTCGCCATATGACTTCAAAACCAACAAATGAGATTATTAAAATATTTGTTTAGATAAAGTAAATATTTACATTTTGAGATAATTGTCCGCGATCCTTGTCTATAACATACGTTGCACTTGGGGACACATCTGCAAAGAAAGCTGAAGAGTTGCCATGTTGCATAAGAGCTGTGACAACTGGAGCAATGAAGGACTTGGCAGACACTGTGGAAGTTGATCAAGACTGGTATCGATTCTTCGAGAGTCCCGGTGATGATATACTCGCAAGAAGCAGTCGTGTTTGGGGCAGCTTTCTACACCTCTGTGCCGGCAGATTTGTAAGATTGAAAGTTGTTTCAGTGTGGAGAGAGATGAACACGGTGTATTGTTAGCCAAGATTTGCCCTTTGATGTCACGGGTAGTTCTCATTGAAGGTAACAAGTCATGGCTATATTCGTAAAAGAGGGTTAGAAATCCCTGTAAAATCAAATAAACATGTAGTTATAATTACTGCTATTTCCATCTTGTATGATGGGCTAGACTAAATATCTACTCTTGTAAGAAACAATGTATATAACGGCAATTTTTCATTTACCAATTAACCTGTCGCCATATGACTTAAAAAGAAATAAAGGTAATTTATAACTAGTAAGATTTTAAAAAGATTTGTATTTGTTTATAGCAACATGTCGTTATAATTACTGCTATTTCCATCTTGTATAATGGGCTAGACTAAATATCTACTTTGTTAGAAACAATGAATATAACCGCAATTTTTCATTAACCAATTAATCTTTTGTCATTTGACTTGAACAAATATTCACATTTTGCGATTTAAATGTTGTTCTGTTAACCCTTGTGACCTTTCAGTAAACCCTTGAACAATGAATGCTAGATTGGTGTCCAACGTTATGATGGCGGATAATGTCGGAATGTGGATGGTTGTGTAACATTGGTGAAAAGTTTGTGTTGGGAATTTGCATGCTGGAGCATTGGTAATTTGTGTATTATGTAAATGGAATTGTCATTCTGGAGACAGGCCAGCATCCAGGGAGAAATAAAGTAAGTTATTTTCTTGAATATTTCAATGAATAAAAATATATTTGAAATGTTTATTCAATAAAATTCATTACATAAGTAATAATTTCAATAAGGTTTTGTCAACTATAGATTGTATAGTTAGGTAGCAGATGGAAGTTTAATGGTTCTACTTCGGTACAACCCCTTTGCCTGAAACATTACACTTAGACGCACATCTTCATGTACCAAAAAAACTTAAGCGTCACTATATGACTTAAAAACGAACAAATTAATTTTTATATGTTTAGTTTAAAATGTTTGTTTAAAGTAAATATTTACATTTTCAGATAATTTTCACCGGCCCTTGTCTATATATTTGCACTTAAGGACACATCTGCAAATGAAGCTGGAGAGTTGCTATGTGATATAATAGCTGTGAGTACTGGAGAAATGAAGGACTTTGCAGACACCAAGAAAGTTGATCAAGACTGGTATCGATTCTTCGAGAGTCCCGGTGTGTTGGACTATTTTCCATTCCGATGTCCTGGTCACGCGGTTTATTGTGCATTTTTACTTTAAATATTAGCATATTGTACTTTTGTTGTCGTTATAATCTGTTGTCTAATATACAATATATGTATTTCCAATATTATTAACATGCATAATTATTTTAATTACAATTTCTCCCAAATAAAATACGGTATGCTCCTTTTATTTCTTTTTTGCGTTTTTCCAATTGTCAAATATGTGTCATAATAATTTGTTGCGATGTCCTGGCCACGCGAGTCGTCGGTTATTTTTTCGCTAAAATGTAAACCTATTTATATTCGTTGAAAAGGTATTTCCAATGTTACTCACATGAAAATGATAATTACAAATTACTTCCAACCAATAAATACTGTATGTGTCCTTTAATTCTATGAAAATTCTTGTTTCAAATTGTCCAACATGTGGTTTAATATTTTCCGTTGCGTTGTCCTGGATACGCGAGTCGTCGGTTATTTTTTTCTAAAATATTAACATATTGTACTTGTAATAAAAGAATGTTGTCTAATATTTATTAAATTGTATCATTAATGTTACTATTTGATATGTTTTAATAAGATTCCTCCAATCCAAATGAAATACTATTAGTGTCCTGTATTTCTTTTAATATTGCGGTTGTCAAAAATGTGTCCTAATATTTCCGTTCCGATGTTCTGACCATGCGGGACGTCATGTTATTTTTGCTTTAAATGTAAACTTATTGTACGTGTGTTGCAATTATTTTCTATTGTCTAATATTTGTTAAATGCATTTCTAATGCTACTAATTTATATGTTTAAACCCCAATTACTGCCATCAAAAACAATGGTGTCCCCTATTTCTATTTTGCTGTTTTCCAGTTGTCAAATATGTGTCATAATAATACAGTTGCGATGTCCTGGCCGCGCGGGCCGTCGGTTATTTTTCCCTAAATTCTAAACATATTGTGTTGTAATTAAAATCTGTTGTCTAATATTTGTTTTAAAAAGTATTTCCAATGTTACTAACATGCATATTTTAATTACAATTACTTCCATCCAATAAATTACTGTATGTGTCCTTTAATTCTATTACAATTCTGGTTTCAAATTGTCCAACCTATGTCATAATATTTTCCGTTGCGATGTCCTGGCTACGCGTTGTCGTCGGTTATTTTTCGCTAAAATGTTAACATATGTCTCTTTTATTGTCTAATATTTATTATTTGTATTACTAATGTTACTACTTGGCATGTTTCAATCAAATTTCCCTCATCCAAATAAAATACCTTTAGTGTCCTGTATTTCTTTTATGGCCATGGCCATGACTGTTGGTAGAATATTTTGATATAAACATTATGTAAATGTTGTTCATATTACCGTTTCCCCTTGATCTGATTAGCCTCTAATGTTATGAAATGTATTGAGATATGAGAAAACAGATGGTTGGATTCATCTCCGTGAGGCAGCTTACTAGTAGTGGCTATATGTCAAAAGAAGATGTTTTTGATCCAAGGAACATATTTCATTACTGATGGAGGTAAAAGTTTGAACAAAATTGTAATTGCAAAAAATGATAATGTTATAAATAATAATGAGATTGGAAAATAGTTTTCTATAATTTACAATAAAGGCTTTTTCAGTTCTAAATTAGAATTTAAACAGAAGTATTTTGTAATTAGTTTCTGAACATTGCTTTTTTATTATTCAGCTTCTGGATAATCGAGGACTTGGCAGACACCGTGGAAGTTGATCAAGACTGGTCACGATTCTTTCGAGAGGACCGGCACTTATTTACTCGCAAGAAGGTTTCGTGTTTGGGGCAGCTTTCTTCACCTCTGTACCGGCAGATTTGTAAGACTGGAAATTGTTTCATTGTTGAGAGAGATGGATATGGTGTATTGTTAGAAAATAGTTCCACTTTAATCTTCCAGGTATATCATGTAGTTCAAATCTAGAAAACGATTTATGAAAATATTTAAAGTGAATTGGTCTGAAATGATAACACTATGATAACAGTTCTTTTTGGGGTTTTTGGGGGTTTTTGTTTGTTTTTGTTTTTTTGTTTTGTTTTTCATAACTTCAAGATTACCTTTATTAACCTGTAAAGTCTAATATTTTTGACATCTTTTTTATGATCGTTGCCTAATGTTTATTAAACCTTTTTAGCTCGACTTTTCTATGAAAAGGGGAGCTATCCTACTCGCCCCGGCGTCGGCGTCGGCGTCGGCGTTGGCGTTGGCGTCACACCTTGGTTAAGTTTTTCGTACCACCCCACTTTATTTCAGAAGTATTACAAGTATGGCTTTGAAACTTACCATACTTGTTCACCATCATAACCTCCATCTACAGACAAGAGTACATAACTCTGTCAAGGTTTTTGACAGAATTATGGCCCTTTTTTGACTTAGAAAGTGTATTGAGCTTGGTTAAGTTTTTTGTACCACCTCACTTTATTTCAAAACCATTGGAGGTATTGCTTTGAAACTGACCATACTTGTTTACCATCACGACCTTCATCAACAGACAAGAGGACATAACTCTGTCAAGGTTTTTGACAGAATTATGCCCCTTTTTGACTTAGAAAATACATTGAATATGGGTAAAATCCACTTATTGCCTTAACCCTTTGAGATATTGCTTTGAAACTTTTAATGCTATTTCACATCATTACCCCCATCTGTACGCAAGAGAAGGTAACTCTGTCAAGGATTAGTTTTAAAAATTAAGGCCTTTTATCGACTTAGAATCTTGGTTAAGTTTTTAGTACCAGTCCACTTTTTGACTGAACTGTTTGAGATATTAATTTGAAAGTTGGAATACTTGTTTACAATCATGATTCCCAAACATGTCCAGGAGAAGGTAATTCTGTCAAAGATTTTATTTGAATTATGGCCCTATTATGCTGATTGTACAAAAAATACTGCTTCCTTGGCATAGATTTCTTGAAAAATTATGTTATTATGTCATTTACCAAGGTGTTCTGAGTGACGTAAAAATACCTTATTCTCTCAAAGTGGGTTTAATACTATTAAATTTATTTAAGGCTCAACTCAGTTTTTTTTCTTTCTTACCAGCCCTCTTTTGACTTAAACATTTCAAACTTTGCTGCAGTGTTCAAGGGTATCACACAATTCAGTAAAATAATTCTTCACTAAATATCTTAATGCTCATGGCCATTGTTCACTTTAAAAATACAGAGATTCTTGTATTGCCTTTTACTGCAAAAACTTTTTTTATTGGCAAGCAATAAAAAAGTCGAGCGCGCTGTCTTACGGACAGCTCTTGTTCATATAAAGAGCTGGAGATGTGACTTGATGACAGTAACGAATTAGTAACTTTGTGTTGACGGCAGGAAAAAAGCAGGAAAACAAACAACAACCTCCATACTCGTATGTTTGACTTTTTATGTTGAATTTTCATAAAATATAAATAAATAAAAACCCTAACAAATCTGACAATTGTAATTTGATTAAAACGATTTTTTGACAAAAATTATTTGGTAATGTGAATTAATTAAGGTTTAGTAAAGATTGAAAAAAATCAAATTACTTATTTCATTTAAGGGATAATCAAGCCGAGTTGTTCTTTAAAGAAGTGTTTATAAAAGCTGTGCGCACTTAACAATCTGGGATGCTTTATTAACACTATCAGAGCACTTTTGCTAAAAAAATGTTACTATTTGTAGATCTGAGAATGGTAAAGGAATTGGATATGATTTGTCAGTAAAGATTTCCTGAGATTGAACAGGTAAGTTTATATGATATTATAATGTTATTCTTGAACAAATTCATTGTTGTGATAAAGTTTATTGCGTCTTAAAATCTTGACAAAAGATGTACACATCGCATAAATACAGATTAATAAAACAAAATAAATATGCAGTTTCATCTTATTTTTATCAATAAGATCTTTATGAAGAATGAAAAAATAATGTAAATTATTATTTGTCTAATGTTTCTTTGATATATCCCTTTTCTCTTGACTACAAGCTTCTAAGCATAATCACTGGTTGGCCGTTTTTTTAATTTTTTAAAAACAAAACATGAAACTAACACTATTGTGACGATTATTGTATTATTTCCCACATAAGACACTCAGAAAATGCCATTTAAGAAATTTAAAGGCCCATTAAGCCTTAAAAATAGTACCCCTTTTTTAAAGGCTTTAGATTTTTAGTTTTAAAAAGTTACTCATTTGCCAAATACCTGAACTACCTTTTGAAAGTTATGGGATGACACCTTTAATACTATATTTGTCAGGTGATAAAGTTCCCAATTATAACAGCATAATTTAAAACATATTTGCCCTTCCATGGCAGAAAAAAATGCATTGCAGTCATTTGCGGTGTAATATCCTGCAAGAATTTATAAGTTGGGTGTTTATAAGACAAATGTGAGAAAAGCAGAAGTTTAATTTCAAGGGCTAAGATGCAATGAGAAAGCTCGGAATGACTATAAAGGGGCATAATGTACAAAAGTATTTGTATTTTTTTTTTTTTGCTAAAAAGATTGTAGTTTTCTCTAGAACACATGAACATTGTTAAGATATATCACACAAGTACTTGGATTTTAACCGAAGTTTAATATATATCTTTACTGTAGGTGGCAATCAAAACATCGATGAAAATCAATGTCATTAGAGATGCAATTGGTATTATCTATTAGATAATTATGAAATTTTATTATCCCAATAGAGCACAACAGGGATCCACAGGTGATACTGTTTCCTAATTTGAGCATTACAGAATATCCACACATACGATAGCAAGAATCAAACTATGCAGGTAAATTTATATGAACAATGTATTATAAAGATAACTGTTATTTTAATTGTTAATTAATAATTTCTGTAATTTCGATTGCAAAATGTGATACCATTACATAAATGTATTTATATATTAGTTGTTGGCATGATTTTAAGTTACCACGTACTTATGTTTTTCAGTGTCATATTTGTTCAAATGTTTATCTTTAAGACATTTTTAAAACGGCAAGTTTGCACCATGTTTATGATTTGGTGCAGTGCTGGGATAAAAGGATTTTTGTTTTTCTTTTTAATAAACTGTTTAATTTTTTAAAGAAATTAATGTAGAAGAAATAAGAAACATATTAAGCATCTTTTGCAAAACTTTTATTTAAGGGATGTACTGGTCTATTGGTTAAGGTCTCTGCCTCTCAAATCAAGAATCAAGGATTCGAGCCCGACTCGGGTCACGATCATGATATGATACCACTACTGGTGAGTTCCAAGAAGCGGACTCAAAGTGATTAACATAAGTTGCAATAATTTGTTTCGCAATCAATTTAAAATAGTTTTACGTATTTAAAATAAAAACTTTATTTAATGAAATATCTTTTCTAAGTAAATACTTGTATTTTACTATGAATGATATGAATCTGTTTTTATTTTCACAGGACTGATTCTTCATGGCGGACGAGAATTGTAATCGATTTTAAACATTTAATTCCGAAAGTACACGTGTATGAACACTAAACTGACATTTACAATAGAAACTGTCTAGCCACTGGATGGGGGAGAAGTGTAGCGATTTTGTGTGGACTCAAACCATCCAGTATATTGAAGTGAAACAATGTGTTAGTGATTGGACAAACTATACAACTACACTTCTCCTAATGCTGCCTAGTTCTAGTAACTAGCATGTCCCAAGCCATGATAAAAGCAGAGGGGGAGAAATGAAGTTCATAGTTGATGTAATTGTTCTCTTAGTATATACAATGTAAATGCAAAATATTGACTTGTCTTCAAACACGCCATAAATACTTAGGAGTTATGTATATGATATTTGTATGTCATCATAACTTTACTACCTATATTTCAAGGGTTCTTTCCCTTTTTGTCTAAAATTTTGTTTTAACTTCTTATTGCAGAGTTCATCAGACCTCTCCATAGTGTTAAGTGTTGTTTTTTTTAATTTGGAAAGAAATTGTTAGAAATATATTCATTTCAAAAAAAAATTCTGTCATTGGTAGGAAAATCCAAAGCTGCCCGCGTGTGTCGAAAATACTTCTTTATTTTTCCCCATATTTACCAGTTAAACTGATAATTTCATGTTCTGACAAGTGAAGGTCGTCTGCTAAACTGCAGTGACGTCATATTCTGTCGTTGACGAAGCCAAAAAGGGCCATTAATTTACATACCACTGTGTTATAGTGCTCCCCGTTTAAGGTCTCTTTTTTGAAGAGTACGTGCTAGTGCGCAGGCGTAAGAATCGTACGTCTTTGAAAATCGTAAGATTTTAGGTTGAACGTACGACCGTGATGATAAGACAGTCTAACGATAAAGCGTATGACAATCGTAGATCAAAATTGTACGATAAGATACTAAAATGTGTAAACAAATCTGAAAATTTAATTTTGCCTTTATTTTTCGTCAACCCTGTAAATTCAAGCAATTTTTTGTATTGACTTTTACGACAGATTTACATTAATTATACAAGTTTGCATCCTGTGTAAATTTCAATGAAAATGATTGTTACGAAAGATATTATAAAAGTAAATACTCACTTAAAATATTCGACAGCGTGTATATAACTATAAAACTGTAATGCTACGTTCACTACGATATATAATGACATTTGCTTGTGAATTGTTAGGTTCTGTTTAGAATATCATAAACAATAATAGAGTATGGCAACTGATTTTGATTTTTTAGAGATTTTTGAAAATTTGTTGCAGCGAAAAAAAAAGTTTTGCACATTCAATGAAACTTTTTCTTCAAAAAACTTTTGAAAAAGCATGTATATATGATAACCAATTTTGTATCTATCAGCTATTATTAAATCAGGACCTTTTTTATCCAAGGAAAACTACTGTTGATATTACATTGATATTTTCCCAGTTCTTATAGATTTTACAAACACCACACGTATTGCACATTTAATTTAGTAGCAAGTACGAATGTAGCATTTATTACCCCGTCATACTGGTTGCACTGGTCACAGACTTAATTTATACTTTTTTGCGCTGTATACATGTATCAAAGTATTTTCATTATCTTATATTTTATTTTAGATTTTTTATTACAAGTATTATTATTTATTTATTCCTCAGGAAGTTTTAATATTGTTTTTGGCGCATTAGTTTTACTGCATGTGCATGACTTCTAGAAATGCAAGTGAAACAGCATCACACTAAGAAAGCTGGGTTATAAAATTGATTTACTTAGCCATGACTTAAAGGCCCATAAAGCCTCAGAAATGATATATACCGTTTTATTGTTCAATTAATTAAATTAAACAATATTTTATTTATAATCCACACATTTACATAATAAAGTACATAAAATAAAATTTACGGATTAATTAATTGTTCTTACATTGTATAAATATTGGCCATATAAATAAACTATGTTTTATTTTGTTTGTTTGTTGTTTTGTTGTTTTGTTGTTTTTTTTTCTATTTTTTTTTTTGGGGGGGGGGGTTGGTTGTTGATTTGTTTATTCCCCTACTTGGCAAGTGATATAGTTATAGTAATTTAGTAATTTGAATGGAAGTCAAAATACTACTTTGTTTACATTTTGCTACCTATACGACACGTTACTGCATATTTAACGCTGCTCTCTTGTTAGAACATCGAAAAAAACTCTAAATTCAGTATTTAAACACTATTGAACACGTATTTGACCTTTCTACAGAATTAAAAAGATATTGATTTCTGAGGTATTATGTGCCTTTGATGAATTATTGTGTATGTTATGAATGAATGTTTATTTTCTTTCTAATCATCATAAATTCATAGGTAAAATTTACTTTAATGTATTGATTGAACCTTTACCATACCTTGAAACGCAACAGTCACTAACACTCTAAAACATTATTTTCTTTAAGCAGCAATTGCTGTATTTTCTAGATACATCATTTCATCTCTAACCAATTACAACCGACAAGACTCATAAAATTGCTTTTACTAGCAGATTAAAATGAAATAACAACAACAATATAATTTCTAGAGGCAGAGAAGATCCTTGACGTAACGACTGCGTTAATTACTATTGTGATGGTAATCTAAGAAGACATTTCGAATTTTATCTCGAGCTAATTATTAACCCAGAACAAATTTTGTAACACTTTCATCCGCATCTCTTTCGCTGTTTGTATTGTTCATTGATATTTGCAATTGTTGTTTTTTGCTGTCAGATCAAAATGAAAAAGCCACAGAAATGTTATTACCTTAATTTCCATTACAGAAATTTAATATTTTATGTTCTTACTTGTTTTTTTTTCAGTTACAAGGACACTTTCTGTTGGCGCGAGTGCTTTAATTACTATTTAGTATTTTAAAGAGTCGCAACGAAAACATGAAATTGGCTTATGTAAGGTTAATGCATTAACCATAAAAGTACTGAACTAATATTGCACCACCTTAAAAGATGGAAATAGCAACATAAATGTAATTACCTTATTTCCCATTAACAAATGTATTTACCTTATTTCCCGTGTAACAATGGTAATGACTTGTCTTTTGAGATGACTGCATTAATTACTATCAACAGCAAATTAATATAGTTAATGTCAGGTTAATACACACAGGTACTGAACTAGATTTACACCACCTTTGACCATCTTCTTAGATACTTGTATTGCTAATGAATTTTAATGCTCTTAATTCTGTTTTTATTTTCAAATTAAAATGAAAAACTACAGATGTGTAATTACCATATTTTCTAGATACAAAGAAAAATATTCCCGATGTCATGCGAACAGAAGTCATAATCTTAAGAGTGCTGAAATACTTTTGTACCGTCTTGAAACTTCGAAGATAATCGTACTGAAAACAATAAGAACTTAATAAAAAAATACATGAGTCATATCTTATTGATCTAATCAATGAAATCCCTTTCTTGTAATTTGTATTCAAAGATGTTACTGACAATATTTGTGTATATTTAAGAACTTAACATATTTCGTTTTAAAATGATTGTATAGAAACAAGCCTACATATGGGTTTGCTATGGTGTACAACAACTGTGGGATACACGTTTTAAAATGTAAGAATATAAACAAACTCAGCTGTGGTGTTATTTTAATTTAAACGAAATAACTATTCATTGTAACTAAATCAAGAACAATTTTATCAAACTAAATATATCATGTCTCATCTTGTATTGTATTTTTCTAAATACTGTTTGGTTAGCATAAGCCACAATATGTAGGCTTTAATTTAGTAGCAAGTTTACATGCCGCAATCATTACACAGAGATTCTTATTGCACCTGATCACTTATTTAATTTACAAACGCGCTGTATATCAAAATACTAAATAATAGTGAATATTAATTGGACTGCACACGAATTAATTTAAAAACTATTAAAATGAATATTTGTCACAGTGATGTTCATTGACATACTTTAAGAAATATGAAAAAACTGTTTATATAACCAATATAGTAAGTATACAGCAGGTACGCTGAGTAATGGAAAGTAACATTTGTTCCCATGTTAATGCTAGCCAGGCCTAAAAGAGATGATTTTCTTATTTTTGTTTAACTGTGACATCCTACTAATTAAAATTGCCCTTCGGTTCCATTACGTTTTCTGTATATTGAAAATTGTCATTCGTTTTCATTCACTATTTTGATTTATGGACGTGTCGCCTATTAGTCGATGCAATTAATTATTTTTAAGATGTCATTCTACTTTTTCTTTGACAGATAATTCCATCACCATTGCTATTAGAGGATACCCTATGACTGTAAAGGGATGCTCCTTTTCCCTTAAGGTATGTTCCGCTTCTCCGTTTTCCACTATATGGTCGTAGTAATTTTACTTATCTGAGAATGGCCAATGAGATTCCCAGATTTCAGTTTGTAATTATAAAATGACTAATGAAAATTTTACATATTTTCAGTTCTTCCTTTAAATTTTACAGACTGGTTTTAGACGACATTCGGTCGAAAAAGGCATTTAACGGGAGAATAGTATACCGTATTATATTTGATAGTGGGATACATTATTGTGTATTTAAATTGTTTCAAATACGCACTGCCTCACGTCACAAAGGGATATATGAATCATATAATATAGAGTTTAAAGGTCAAAATAATTCATATTAGGTGAAGTAGAGTTTTATGAAAGCATACATTAGATGTCAGGACTTAAACAATCAAGTTCTATGTTATAATTATCAACACAAATGAACAACAGCTTAAATCGTATACAAATAACTTGGAACAGAAGCTTCAGAATACCGGATGTCTGTGGTGATAGCAAAAAACTGAGTCAAAAAAAGATGTTTCTTCAATTTTAGGTTAGACGCAGCCTGTGCAAGAAAACTACAGAAATTGAAACATTAACACAAAACACAATTCTATAATAGCATAAAATCCCCATTCCCATCAATATTTTAACTTGTTTTCTTCTCAAGTAAGAAAGTGTATTCCATTTCACCACGAAAATAACCAGATGATAAACACTTTTAGTGTGAAATGACACATTAGTCTGTCAACAATAATTATTCTACAATCTCCAGATAGTTCTTGCAGAAATGCTTTTAAGACGAAAAGAACAATGATGGACCATTGTCTAAAAACACGATATTTTAAAAAATGAACACGGTGATCAGTTCAAAACGGAAACAATAAAATTTGAAGAAAAAAACAACAACAAAAAATATATA